ATTAACTATTACTAGTGGGTTATTCTGCTTTACAACCCATTGCTCTATTTGTGAGGCTGAAGCATCCCTCTGCAAACTTAGGATCAGCTTTTAGATACCCCGCCCCCAGCCACTCATGACCATAAATTGATGTGAGCTGAGTTAACTTTTAAATGATGAGATGCACATGACCTTTGACTTTTTGGTTTTATATTGTCCCATACTCTTCCCTGCTTTGCAAAACCGGCAGTGTCAGGGAAGGTACAGGGCCTTACACTATCAAGGAATGCCAGGGAAGACAATAGATTAAGTACAAACACTAGTTTAACTGAAAAACTGTTAATGGAAAATGCAAAGAAAGGCAATTTGTAACTGAGTTTTACCTTGAGATTGTAAAAATTCTTTTGTTATTGCCTAATGCTTGCTGTAAAAGAAGGAGTTAAAAAACTGGCCTTGCCACAGCCTTACAAGTCCATCTCTGATTGTGGTCTCAGCTAGCTGATAAGCTTTTCGTGCCCCATGGAGACTTATTTTTTAATTATTTTTTTTTCCTGGAATAAAGTTTGCTTGTGGATTATTAGACTTTGGTGGTCTGTCCCCATCTTTGCACAACTCCCATGGACCCAACACAAAGTCTCTGCCCTGGTCAGGCTGGCCGTCTAACTCTGTGACAGGGAGGAGAGCCACACAGAGCAGCACAGGAAAACCCCCTGTGCTGAAACAGGAAGCAGTAGACTGTTCCTAGCAGGAGCTGCTGCTGCTCTCTCAGCCCTTTCTCAGCTGTTTCCTAGCTCTAAAAACGACAAAGCATATCATGGGGTTAGCTCTCTGATACACCCCCAATAGCTCTAAAACTTTTGCTAAAGTATAAACTTCTATATCCCAGAATTTGCAATCTACTGGGTGTGGTTTAAAAGATCAGTAAAATCTTTAACCAAGTTAGCTTCAAACTCGTAAAAGAAACAGTTGATGGTTAAAAGAAAAAAAAAAACTATACATAGGTAATTTTAATTTGCTGCAGCATGCTTGTATGGAACTTGGATTCAATTCTTGTTTAGGAAAATGTTTTTTTTTAAAAAAAAAAAAAAGGAAGAAAGAAAAAGAGGCAGTTTCTGATGAGCTCACCATGGAGTAAACAGCACCATGGCCCTGCTGCCATCTGGACTGATGACCTCACCAGGATGGAAGCACCCACGTGTGCAGCAGCTGTCACCACTAAGGTTAAAGAGAGGGCACACTATGTGACTTCACTGTTTTCTTGGTTAAGGTGACCGCTGTTATAAACCAACTAAAGCAACACCAATAATGCCCTCTGGTTATCACTGTATCTCCTTTTTCAGACTAACAAGGCAGCAACAGACCTCCAAGATGATTTATTTTATTTTATTTTATTTTCCCTACATTAACGAGGCAACATCAGGCCTTCAAGATATTTTGGATCAGGATAAATTTTTGTATGATTTTTGCCATGAGAGTGAAAAATAACTGATAAAGATAAAATCATGAACAAGGGTATGGGAAGCAGGACTTAACATGTATTTGATTGCTACGGTTTCTAAATTCCTAAAGTTATAATGATTTACTCAGGTGTACTTTTTGTGGTCTGATCTTGAGGCAAGTTCTGGGACTGATGAAATTCTGAGATCAGTCTCTGGGGCAGCTCAGGGATTGGTGGGATTTCGTGTTCAGTCACATCTATTTGGCACTAACCAGCTTCTCTGCCTTCCTGCCCAGAACGCTTGGTGAGGACTCACTAACTAGACCACTTGTGCCAGACAGGGTTAAATGTCAGGCAGGGTTAAATTCAAGGTAAAGCCTTCCTTCTCAGCCAAGGGGCCATGGTGGACTGCTGTGACGAGCTTAAAGAACACCAGGTTACAATTCTAATGACTTCTCTCAAATAGAAACAAAAGTGGGGGCTGTGTGGCCAGAAGGGGGTTCCCAAGGTCACTAGGACACTAGGCACAGCAGTTACAGGAGGGTTAGCAAGTTCTTCAGTCACTAATTAATAGTTTCCCCTTATCAGGTCGACTTTGTTTGTCTGGATATCTAATCAGGAATGGCTGGCGATAACACAGGGACACAGGAAAACCCATACCTTTAAATGAGGTGTAATGCCACATGCAAGTGTTCCAGAGAGGTGAAGGCAAGGAGGAGCAGGAGTTCAAAATCATCCTAGGAGCCTGGCAAGGTGGCAGACACTTTTAATCCTAGCACCCGGGAAGGCAGAGGTAGCTATGTCTATGAGTTCCAGGCCAGGTAAAGTTATACAGTGAGACCCAGTCTCAAACAAACAAAACAAATAAGAAGCAAATGATCCAAGAGAACCTGGAGCCTCTGAGTACCTTGCAGTCCTTTCTGCCCCCAGGGGGATTAGCAGCTACAAGTCTCCAGCACGCCAATTCTTCAGTCAAACTAAGCTTAAGTGCTCCACACCCTGAAAGTGACCTTCAACATCCCAGCGCTGCACCCTCTACAACAAAAGAGCTGCAAAAAGTCCTTTCTGGCAGGTCTCATAGCCTCTAACTGCGACCATTGGTCAACATCCTCAAAGAAAATCATTAAAGATTTCTTTAATGTCTTTTGTTTCTTTTGTTTGTTTGTTTTGTTTTTGTTTTTCAAGATAGGGTTTCTCTGTAGCTTTGGAGCCTGTCCTGGAACTAACTCTTGTAGACCAGGCTGGCTTCGAACTCACAAAGATCCGCCTGCCTCTGCCTCCCGAGTGCTTGGATTAAAGGTGTGCGCCACCACCGCCTGGCTTGACATTAAAGATTTCTTAATCTGATAAAAAGTTTGCTGTTCCAGGAGTATGACAAGAGCCAGGGTGTGGTGGTGTCTGCCCACCCATGAGCCAACCCTGGGAAGGAAAAGGCAGGTGGACAATGGGGAGTCTGAGGTCAGCCTGGGCCTCACAAAAACAAAACATCAGTCAACTGACCAACTGACCGGTTGGTCATTACTATGGTGTTCAGTTGACTATTTACTACAATATGAAAATAAATGTAGAAAAAAATGCATTTGTCTTCAAGACCTAGTCCTAACAGGCATCAGAGAAATGATCAAACGGGGTATGATGGTAACCTGTGATCCCAGCAATAAGAAGGCAGAAGCAGGAGGATCAGAAGCTCAAGGTCAGTTACTCTAAGGTACAAAGTTTGAGGCCAGCCTGAATTGGCAGAGATTCTGTCTCAGGAAATACTAAAAATCCAGTTCTGCCTTCTGCTCTTCTGGAAATGCATAACCCAAAAGATGACTCTGGTATTACCAAAGAAGAGCAGATGGTAAGTAAGGCCTGGGATCGTGGTACTCGTCCATAATCATAGCACTTGGGAGGTAAAGACTGACTCCTACATAAAAAGTTCAAGGCTAGCCTGAGCATCCTGAGACCCTGTCTCCAAAAATGTGGGAAAAAAAAAGGCAGAGCAGTAAATGCGGCAGCATTACTGTGTTACTGCCTGGCAGAGCACAGCCTTGTGTAACATTCCCTAAGCCTTTTCCTTATCCCTGAGATAATCTAAGCAGTGCTTCCCAACCTTCCTAACGCTGGGACCTTTTCAATACAGTTCCTCATGTGCTGACCCCTAACCATAAAATTATTCCCATTGCTATTTCTTAACTGTAATTTTGCTACTGTTCTTGTGAGGACCTGACTTTGCAAACTCCATTTTAAAGAAGGGGCTTCATCTTAAGCCATATAATAAGCTGGGGGTGGGCGATCTCAACTCCAGAAATGTGCTGCCATAGCGGAAACTTGAACAGATACCCTAAAAATAGCCAGTTAAGAAGATATGGAGCAGGCTATAAAATTTAATGAAGTCCAGATGTTCGATGTTCTTGGGAGGCATCCTGTCCTTAAAGATACCTTGGTCTGTAATTTATGGCTCTTTGTTAGGTTTTTGTGCCCCAAAACTGACCAATGGGTTCAGAAACTAACTACCTTATCCTATGTACTCCTTACCCAATCCCAAGAGGACAAGACATGAACTCCCCTGATTACTATATTTCCCTTTTAAAAGTTCTACCCTCCCAGGTCTCCCTGCCACACTTTCTGCACCCACTATGCTGGGGTGCTAGAAAGGTGTTGGTCCAAACTTAAGTTTGAATATTATTAAAAACCCTCATGTAATTTGCATTGGCAATCAGGCTCTGTGGATTTATTTGGGAACCAGAAACTTGGGCATAACATTCTGATTCACAATGTAACTTTTTCTGGTGGAAGCTAGAAGACATTTGGGTGTTATCTTCAGAAATGCTTCCCACCTTCTTTGAAACAGGGTCTCCAACCAGCCTGGAGCTCACTGATTCAAGTCAACTGACTAGTCAACGACCCCAAGGGATCTTCCCGTCTTCGCCATCCCAGCAAGGGATTACAAAGGCAAGCCACCACACCTGTCCAGATCAAAAGCTCTTTCATGGCCAGGATGGTGGCGCACACCTTTAATCCCAACACTCGGGAGGCAGAGGCAGGAGTGTTATTCCTTTGCGGTGCCTTTAAGGACTAACCACGCCCACTCCCACCCACTTCTGACCTCCTGGTCACCGTCTTAGCCTCTCTTCTGTCTGTCTCTTGGCGTGTATACACGTGTCTTTGTCTCTCTCTATGTTTGTCTTTATGTCTCTCTGTTTTCCTCTTAAGTAATAAATGTCTCTCTCTTCTCTAAGTAATAAATGTTTAGCTTTATATATAGCCTTATGTCCATTTACTCTGCCGTCCACCGCATCCAGCCGCCTGACTCTGCCGCTCGCCCAGGGACCTGCACTGCTCTGGCGGCAGCCTCTGCCTGGCTCGCAGGCCGCTCGGGGCATCCCAACCTATCTTCTTTTTAAAGAACAAAAAGGAGGACCTCTATGAGTTTGAGGCCAGCCTGGTCTACAAAGAAATCTCTAGGACAACAAGGGCTTTACATAGAGAGATCCTGTCTTTTTTTTTTTTTCTCAAAATCTAAGACATTGTACTAAGGGTTTTCAGAACTGCTAGATCTCTGATGTAGCAGGTAACTGACAGCCCTGGGCATGCTCACCTAGGACGAGAAGGCTGAAGAAAATGGTCATGCCACTCGATTGCTCCTCCTGCTGGGCCTGCTCCCCTGTCTGCACCGGAAGGATGGGCTTGGCAGGTGTCGGGAGCACCAGTTTCGTGGTGACACCCAGGGTGGTGTGAAGAGTGAAGTTGAAGCTTTCATGGGTTGTGTTGGAGAACCTGTTGGAAATACACAAGTGGGAGTCAGGTAAAGAAGAGGGTCAAGGGAATCAAAACACATCGTGACTGACTGAGGACAGAGTAAAGCCCTGAGGGTACAAACAGCAGGCAGGTCTTAAAGACTGGAGAGAAGCCCTGCCTACAAATGCCCCAGTCAGTGACCTCTAGTAACTTTGACCTTGGCCATCCAGAGGTCAGGAAGAAGGGGGTCAGGCCCAGAGAGAAAGAAATGTAAAAGGCTGGGTCTAGGCCAGGGATGTAGATCAGCTGGTAGGGCCAGCAATGAGGCCCTGGGTTTGATCCCCGATACTGTACAAACCAGGTGTATGTGCCACAGGCCTATAATCCCAGTACTCGGGAGGAAGAGGAGAAAGATCAAGAGTTTGAGGACATTTTTCAGCTAAAAGACCAGCTTGGGCAACATGAAACCCTGTCTAACAAAGCAAAAATGCTGAGCCCAAGGCTACCAAACCCAAACAGTGGGTTAGGCAGGAGGACCACAAGTTAAAAACCTGCAGGGGGTAGTGAGTTCAATGTCAGCCTAGGCAACTCGGTGAGACTCTTTCTCAAAATAAGTAAAAGAGGAGATGGCACAGTGGCACCCACCTGTAATACCAGCAGAGGAGAACCACAAGTTTGCGGCATACCAAAATCGTCTCAAATACATGACTAAGAACAGCTCGGCTGTAGAGGGCTTGCTCAGCATGCACCAGACTCTACAGGTCAATCCTCAGTAGGATTTCTTACCAACAAAAATAACAACAAAAAAGAAGAAATGCTGTCTGTCCTTTGAACTTAGTGAGGGTAGCAGGGTATGGTAACCCAATGCTTGCAATCCCCACACTTGGGAGACAGAGGCGGGAAAGTTAGGAGCTCAAGGCCAAGGGCCCCTTGGGCTACATAGTGATGATACACAGTGAGCTGAGGATCAGCCCTGTGGGCTACATGAAACAGTCTCAAAAAGGAAAAAACAAAACAGATTCCCGGAGTGGGACTGGAGTCTCCCATACCTCAGGTTCTACACTATTTACTGGGGGCCTTTCGTGTGTTAGTCACATTTCTGCTTGGATTCTGTATGCACTGTATGTCACTCGGGCTTGAACCCAGGACCTGTGTGTGGCCAGCAAGGCTCTACAACTTAGATCTCAGTCCTTCTAGGATTGCGTCCATAAACTGAAAAAGTCACCTGACTTTGCCCAGTTGTTGTGCTCAGAGTGCCCTAATCTACCCTGCTAAACCCTTCTCGAATGTCAGAAGGCTCAGGTTGCCTGCTCTGGTACACCACACGCTACCCACGGCTTTGGTTCTTGCTCTCCTTGTTAGGTTTCTGAGTTAATACAGCAGTGGCACAGTGGGAGTGTAACAGGTGGTAACCACCGAGCAGGGCTTCACTCCAGCATCCAGTCACACAGCAGATCTCTAGAAACTCCATAACTGACCAAGGCTCAAACACACACTTCGAACCATTTGACCCCACGTTATCTCTTTAGTCTTGAACGGCCAAGGCCTACTTTAGCATCTGAGGCAGCATGCATACACAGTGAGTTCATGACTTGGTACCTGACTGGCCAAGAGAAACCTGAATGCATGATCCCAGTACAAGTTCAGTGTCATTTAGGGGTTCCTTTTTCATTTTCAGGAGCTCATTCCAAAGACAGAATTTGTAACATCCCGCAAGAGATGGCGTCCTGCCAAGTAGGAAGACGGACTAACAGCGGCACATGCCCAAATAGCGGGAGTTAACCTCATTAGGGAAGACGCTCTCTACACTGTCAATCAGCGGCCAGCGCCTCACTCCAAAGTACTCGCCCTCTCCCTTTTCTTTCCTGCCTGGGATGAGGACTAAACTGGGGACTCACGGAGCTACAGCCCTTTCTTGGTTCAGGCTTTGGAACTTGTCACCCTCCTTATCTCTCCTGGGGATTCAAGGTTTGGGTCACAAGGTATTTTTCTTCCTGACTCCTCGCCCCTCACACTACTCATTTTCCTTCCAAACATTTGGCAGGGTCGGAAAACACCCTGCCTACACAAAGCCTCCCGCGATAACAGAACAGCCGCTCCCTGCGGGCAGCTCCTGGCGCCCAAAGGCGAGCGGAGCGGACAACCAGCGGCTAATGAATGAATGGAACTGCCTGAGAACAGACATCAACACTGAGGTTGCTGATGTTAAGGAGGACGCGAGCCGCCTGTGTGGCAATGGGAGGACTTCCTGGAGGAGGAGGAGGAGGAGCGCCTGGGACACCTCAGATAACCGGAAACTGGGAGAGAGAACCGTGTTCGCGCTTTCGCCCGGCTACGCTACAGGCCTGCGCGCGGACGCCAATGTATGACCTCGGGGAGGCCGCAGGGCCCGAGTCCTCATCCCACCCCCCGCCGACCCCGGCCAGCTGGGCCAGAGCCACTCTACCCGGGCGCCCGAGGCCCGTTGTCGCCCGCCGGCCCGGCCCTGCCGCCTCCGCCACCCTGAGCAGCCCACTCACTCCTCCTCCGCCATCTTCTCCCCCATCCTGCGAGCCTCCGAGACTACCGAGTTGGACGCCGCGGGGCTAGCGGAGCCTGCGGCAGCTTCCGGCTTCCGCTGCGGGTGGAGGCGGGGCTTAGCCGCCCAGGCAGACCCTCTGCCCCGTCGTCTCGGTGGCCCAAGAGTGGGACGACTTCGGGGGTTTTCTCTGCGCCTGTTCCATCCGAGCCATGTGACGGTCTTGCCCCTGGACTGTCCGACTTTTTCCGGTCACCGGGCGGGAAGGACGTGAGGGAAACTCTTCTGAGATCCCGGTGACTCAGCTGTGAGCAAAACCGTCCTCCCCGCTTTTAATTCACAGGGCTAAGAATAGAGGGGTACGGATTTCTGGGCATCCGGGCAGGCTGTACCAAGGGGCGAGTCCCGGGTCAACTTCAATTTCCCCAGCTGTGGGAGGAATAAGCAGAGGGCCTTTGAAACATTCCTAGTGTAAAAGTGAGTGCAGGGGATGTACGGGCTGGGCATTCACCAACTCCTACGTTGGTTCATTGGTTTGTGTGGTTTATGTGTAAATGGGGAGATCCAGGACATCTTGAGGGCTTTGATTCTCGTCTTCCACTATGTGGGCCCTTGATATTGAACTCTGATAGTAAGGCTTGGCAGCAAGCACCTTTACTCACTGATCTATCTCACCACCCAACAATTCTTACTAACCTGTGTGTGTGGTGTGTGGGTGCATTAGGAGACCCGAGATTGTTTTCAGACGTCTTCCTTGCTCATACTCCGTCTTAATTTATGAGACAGAGTCTCCACCTGAACCGGAAGCTGGAGATCTGATATACTGGCTGGTCAGTAACTTACTGATCCTTCATTCTGGGTCTCTGTAGCCCTAGGGTTACAATTGACAGCAGCTCTGCTTGGGTTTTATGTGGGCGTTTGGGATATGAATTCCAGGGTTTATGCTTTCCCAGTAAATGCTCTACCCACTGGGCTTTAAACACAGGGTAACTTTATTTTCTGTGGCAGCCCTACTCTGTTGACTGTAGGGGAGAAGGGCTTGCCAAAGAAACCCACCCTGGCCCTGAAACCAGAACCAGTGAAAGAAACACACCCTGGCCCTGAGACCTGTGCCAGTGAAAGAAATGCTTTAGTCCTGAACCCAGAACCAAAGAAATACACTCTGACCCTGAAACCTGTGCCAAGGAAACACACATTGGCCCTAAATAAGAGTCAGTGAAAGAAATATGCCCCAGCCCCAAAACTGAAGTCGAAAAGCTTTAAAAGACCAGTGAAAAAAACAGTTTGCCTCTGAAAACAGCCATCTCTGCCCCAACCAACTAAACTAACCAATCCCTCTTCTCCCTGGGAAAACTCTGCTCCTAAGAAGCCCTATATAAGCCCTGAGCCTGTTCAGTTTGCAACTACTCTTCTTCTACCCTGGAAAAGGCAGCCACTCTCCTAGTTCTGCCCTCCCAATAAATCTCTTGAACACTTCGCTGGGGGACCTTCCCCTAGCAGAGCAGTGTTGCTACTGAGTCAAGCTGTAACAACTTCACTGGGGAAGCCCTGTCCTGCTAGAGCAGAGCTGTTAAAAGCTGTTAAAAGCTGTTAAAAGCTGAGGAAGCCTTTTCCTACCTAGAGCAGGGCTGTAGCCTGCTCTGCTTACTGAGCCCTGACTGCTAGAATACTCTTCCGCCCGAGCTGTAACACTCAGTATTCCCTGGCCCCCGACTGCCAGAATACTTTCCATCTGAGCTCTAGCACTTAGTATTCCTTGGCTTCTGACTGCCAGGATCCCTTTCCATCTGAGCTGCAACGTTCATATTGCCCAAGCTGGCCTGGCACTGCCGAGGTCTTTAAGGGATCTTCTCAGTATTGGTTCTCCTGAGCCTCTCCCACCCTGGGTAGTAGTCCTTTCCCCCTTAATAAAGTTTAATAAACCATAATAAATAATTGCTCTGTCCCCCTCCTCCAAAAATGATCCTTCTTCCTCAGCCTTTGAGCAGTTGGGATTTGAGTGTGAGAGCCCCCTCCAACTCAGGCAGCTGTCTATTATGGTGCATGGATGGAGCCTAAGGCAAGGTGGATAGGTGGTCTCTGCTGAGCTAACATGCCTGAGTTCTAAGAAGAGACCTGTTGTATCCTTAAGGTGTACCTCCTCAAGTTGAGGCTCAAGGAACAAGATATGCAGATATTAGGCAAAAATAGAGAAAATTAAATGGACCTGGGAAGGCCATGCAGAGTGTAATTGAAGCCTCCCACCAGCTGAGAATAAGAATTCTAGCACAATTAATGTTTGCCAAGAAGGCCTCCCACATAAGGACATTTTCAAAGGTAAATGTTAAAAATAGGACTGCCTCATGACCTTAACTCAGTTCGTGTGACACTCATGGTAAAGGAAAGAACTGACCCCTGCAAACTGTCCTCTGCCCTCCACACGCGTGGTATAACACATGTCCACACTCACACTGGGCTGGCTAGTCTTATATAAGCTAGAGGCATCTGAGAGGAGCCTCCTTTGAGAAAATGCCTCAATAAGATTCAGCTGTAGGGCATTTTTCAAATCACTGTAGGTGATGCCATCCCGGTGCTGGTGGTCCTGAGTTCTGTACGACGGCTCAGCAAGCCAGTAAGCAGCACCCGTCCATGGCCTCTACATCACCTCCTGCCCTGACTTCCTTGGATGATGAACAGTAATGTGGAAGTGTAAGCCAAATTAAGCCTTTCCTCCCTAAGTTGCTTTGATCATAAGAAACCCTGACTAGGGCTGGAGAGATGGCTCAGTGGTTAAAAGCATTGATTTCTTTTCCAGAGGTCCTGAGTTCAACATTCCCAGCAACCACATGGTATCTCACAACCATCCATCATGAGATTTGGTGCCCTCTTCTGGCCTGCAGACATACATGCAGGCAGTACACTATACATAATAAATAAATCTTAAAAAAAAGAAAGAATATATATAAATTTTACAAGGAATTTGAAAAGGCAGTAAGCCAGCTGGGCAGTGGTAATCCCAGCATTTGGGAGACAGTGGCAGGCAGATCTCTGAGTTTGAGGCCTGCCTGGTCTACAGAGTGAGTTCCAGTACAGCAAGGACTGTTACACAGAGAAACCCTGTCTTGAAAAACCAAAACCAAAACCAAAACCAGAAAAAAAAAGAAGAAGAAGAAAGAAAGAAAGAACAGTGATAATAAGGGCTTCGAGGTTACTCAGTGGATAGAAACACGACTGCTCTTCCAGAGGACCTGGGTTCCAATCCTAGCACCACTTAGAGTTGTAACTCTAGTTCTGGGAGATTCGGCGTTGCTTTCTGGCCTCTGCAGGCTCTGCATGTACGTAGCGTACAGATATACATGCAGGCAAAACACCCATACACATAAATAGAAAAATGTATAAATAATGGAGGCTGGAGAGATGGTTCAGTGGTCAAGAGCATTGACTCCTGTCCCAGAGAACCTAGGCTCCATTCCCAGCAGAGGGCACCTGCGTGGAGTCTCTTCTCCCCCACCTTTATGTGGATTCGAGGTACTGAACTCAAGTCTTCAGGCTTGGCATGCACATTAGTGGTTCTAGCTTGCTAGCTAAAGCCATGAGCCCCCTGCAGCCCACCGCAGCAAAGCGTTCTTAAGGCCTGAGCATAGACTACTGTAACTACGGCCTCACTCCCTACTCAAATGTTTTCTGGGACTCTCCTAGAATTACTGTGAAAACACTTGAATTTCCCATGCAGCCCTTGGGACAGAGGGTTTTACCTAATCAGCTACAATCCCGTCCTTGGCACGTCAGGAACCAACCACCCTATGATTAATGTTCTCCGCCCAAGAAATTCTTTAGCCACCCTGTGAGCCCTGACTCTAGAAGCCACCAAAGCCAGGCAGCTAGGTTTTGTAAAGACAGCCAGCTCTCTGGAGAAGCCCGAACCCACACTTTCAAGTGGGCCTCACCCCTTCCTAGGCACTTTGCTTTCTTTTCTCTTTTTTGATTTTTTTTTTTTTTGGTTTGGTTTTGGTTTTTCAAATCATGATTTCTCTGCGTGGCTCTGGCTGTCCTGGAACTCTCTCTGTAGACCGGGCTGGCCTCAAGCTCAGATATCTGCCTGCTTCTACCTCCCAAGTATGTGCCAACATTGCTTGTCCCTGGATGTCTTTCTTAAACCTGAGTGTGTGTGTGTGTGTGAAGAAAAACCTCTAAGGGGCTAATGAAATGGCTTAGCAGGTAAAAGTGTTCGATGCCAGGCCCTTCAGAGGAGAACTGACCCCTGAAAGCTGACCTCTGACCTACATATGGGAGAGTGAGCACACAGAAATGTCAAAAGAAACCTTATCATACTCATCTTGAAATTCTGGGACTGAGTCAAAACTCCTGGGGCCAGGCTGGCAGGATGACTCAGTGGGTTGAACGCACCTGCTACCAAGCCTGAGGACCTGAGTTGCTTCCCTGGGACCCACATGGTGAACAGAAAGAAACCTTTGTTCTTTAACCTCTGTACGTGTGCCGTGTGTGTCTGTACACCTCTCACACAGTAGATAAATGTGTTTTTGTTTTGCTTTTTTCTTCTGAATCTCGGGACTGAGCATATAGTTCAGTTGGTAAAATGTTTGCCTAAGTGTGTGAAGCCCTCGGTTTGATCAAGGCCTTGCCCTGGGGAGACTGAGGCAGAAA